CGGCAGATTGAGCAGATGAAACAATTTTTCCAGTAATTGTTTTTTGCTTATAGACACGTCCTCCTAGAGCCATGACGTTTTGAATATCCCTGCAAAATATTTTTGCATATGCACAACAAATGGTAATTATAAAGGTTTTGCATTTTTACGTCTCTCTATTATACAGATCTTGAGATTTTATATTCAACTGGGATTTACAGGCTGTTATGAGAAGTGTCTACAACATGAAAGATATGAGAAATTTCTACGACATTAATAATACCAATGTTCTGGTCAATCAAAGTTTTTACGAGGATCCTACTTTATATATACGGTGTAATATTTCACTGAGGAGATTCGGGTAAACCACCTGGAACCCATGTGGGTCCGCCGGTGCTGCTGGTGAACTTTTTCACTACTTATAGATCTGCACAGGAGCGTAGTCACATATTATTTTTATACTTAAACTTTAAAAATAACGATAAGTAGTTAAATTATTCAACTACAAAATTTATATTTTCACTATTTAAATATTGTATATTTTCTGACAAAATTATGTTGTCACTAAATCGCATGTTAATTAGAGACAATAAAATAATTGTCACTAACTTTTTATATTATTAGAGACAAAAACTAAGGTCACAATATAGAATATAATTTTGTGGCTAAAACTTAAAACATTCAACTACGAACTCTATTTTGTCGCTATTGCAACAACTTATATTTTGTGATGAATTTTTTGGTGTCCAAAATTGTAACTAATTTTATGACAAATAATAGTTTGTCACAAATTCGTTTACATTATTAGCGACAAAATAATATGTCATTGATGAATTAAAATTTGTCTCTATTTGTACTCAATAAATGGCGCCAAATTATTTTTTGGTGTGAAATTTTACTAGATAAAACTTTGGTACGAAATTGTATATGTTGTCACTAAAAGTATGTTGCACATACATTTAAATACGAAAAGTATTTATAGTCAAAAATGTGAATAAGCAGTTACAAATTTTATGTCATAACTAATAATTTTGTAGTTAAATATCTTATTTGTTGTAGTGAACAAGGTGAAGAGTGATAAGAGAAATATAAACATTGCGTTTTGTACCTTTCGAAGATGGCCATGTTGTGGTGGAGGTCAAATAAGTCAAAAATAGGGAAGGGGGTTTGCACCATCAACAAATGGGAGAAATTTAGAGTGGAGTTTAAGAAGACTTTCTTTCCCAACAACATCATCGATGAGGCAAAGCTTAAGTTTATGGAGCTAAAGTAGATAGGCAACATACGGAATTTATGAAGAAGTTCACCACTCTCAGGCTACATATTCCAATCCAAATAGAAGGAGTTATGTTCTTCCACATCATGGATGGACTAAAAATGGGCCATGAAGAAGTTAGAACGGTGACATGTCAGGACTATGAATGAAGGTATCATGCAGGATGAAGCTTTTGAACCCTGACTAAGCCAGAAGAGAGGTAGTCATGACCAAGGGTAGAGAGATCGTGGAAAAAAAGGTGAAGAAGACACATCCTATGAATCATTACACTTATAACTTTGATGACAAGAAGTTTGGATGTAAAAGTAATACATAGAGGAAGGTAGTGGCTACAAGGAGAAATAGTTGTTACATATGCAGAGCGCCGATAAAAATGAAAAATTTCCTGAACCGAGGAACTTTCTTAACATATTATGGTAATTGAAGGAGAAATATGGACAAGAGCCAAGGCAAGGTCCAGATATGAAGAAGTTGGACTTTATTAGACTATGTGGAGTTATAGCAAAGCAATGAGAGAGGCCAAAAAATATGATTCACAATATGTGTACATCAAGATCTATGCACTACCCACTCGTGCTATGACCGACGCTGGTGCAGAGGCTAACATAATTACCAATACTGCAAAAATAAAGCTCGAATTGAGTTACATTCCACGTAACACGAACCTCAACACAATCAACTCACGACCAACTCTCGTGTGTGGAGTTTTTCATGTTGAAGACAATACTCCATTTTCCATGTAGAAGTGATACTCTGTATTCATACAAGCATAAAGTGGGAGAGTGTCATGAACCGCAACTTTGTCATCCCACTTAGGCATAAAATTAAGGTATAAGTGAGCTAGCCTAATTGGAAAGGATCTAAAGTCATATAGTGGTTTGTGGAACACTCTAGAAAACACTAGAATAATTCTTGGAAGGCTTTAGAATTTTCTATGCTTGTAGGGAATTCTAGTAGTGGGACTAGATTGAAAATATTTACGGACTTGTATAGTAATTTTTGTTTACACTTTATCCCCTAGGAGAGTAGTATACATAGAAGTCTCTCATTTCAAGCTAAAGCAGGCAAGTGTAAAGCATTCTCCAAGAAATACAAAAAGACTTCATACAAATGCTTTTGTATGTTTCTTCATTCTCTTAGAGATGTAAGTTTTAAAAGGTTTATTTGAGCATGAAAGATCATGAAGTGTCATGTGTAAGTTGTCAAGTGCTTCACAGAGCATTAGTTGCAGTCTATGTTTGTGACATGATGCCTCAGAAATTCCAAAACTCTAGGGATGTATGTTTTTAAAAGGAAAAGAATTGAGTCTTGTTTACACCAAATTGACCCTTCACATTCTAATTAATTTTTCCAGTTTCTTCAATTTCAAACAACGTTGTAATAATTTTCTTATAAAATTAATAATATATTAAAAATCATTTTAAGGAAATTTTCCATTTATTATTAAAAAATGTCTTTAAATAAATATAATACATATATTTCAATAATTTCTACTTTAATAAACATTTGGAAAACTCTTTTTATAAATTCCAAGACCAGAAATCGTATGTTGATGGTGCTTAATATAATTCCTAGTAGGCAAGATGAACTCATGATAACATGAGATAAAAAGTATAAATATGAGAAATCACCTCCATCACAGATACATACAAAATTGAATAAAATATACAAAAAGGCCCCAAAAGGAACTGAAGTATATGAAATTCATACAAGGAACCAAACCTCAAACCTAGTATTATAGGTACAAGAGACTCTATGACGAAAGTATATTTATGCAAAACATAAATGCCTAAATAAAATACAAAATAAGTAGACAATAAATACATAAGGAAAAGCAGCAAGTCTCTAGATGTGAAGAGCTCACCACAATCTTAATAACAAAAGGGTCTTGAATGAGCGAAGATCGATGGTGATATATCTTTCTAGGTGTTGCATCTAAAAATAAATAAAAGTGTAATATGACACTACAAATTTTATGTCTCCAACCACAAGAGAAAAGTGTGCCTAAACTATGAAAAAGTACGGCGTGCGATAAGAGGCCACACTTTTTTTACTTTAAGCCACACTTTCCCAAGGTTGGCCGAAAGAAGTGTAAACTTAGAGTTTAGGCTACACTTTTCAAGTGTTGCTGTATCATCTACGCTTAGATAAATAGCCTAAAAGTAAAAAAAGTGACGCTTTACAGTACTTCATATAGTAACATACAACTACACTTTCAAGCTAGGCCTTTGCTTCCTTACTGCCAACTATTTTAAAGTGTTTTCTTTTCTATCTTATGTATGACAACGCTTTGAAATTTAGAGTTTTCCCATGTGCATACCAATATTTATATGGAATATGCTACACAATTTCAAGTCATATGGCTACACTTTTAGTGTATTATGTTATTTTGTCAGTAAAATACTTATATCCACAATATCTAATTAAAAACAACAACATTGTTTTGCAACAAATAATCTCAACCTTTAAACTAGCTAATAAGTAATTCAAATATATATATATATATATATATATATGTATATATATATATATAAAAAACTAAAAATCTAAAATGAAATGGAATTCAAATTGGTCAAGAAAAGGAACCGCGCTAGTCGGAATTTTTGGGGAAATACAGAAAGCTCTCTAGGATCTCCTGATCAAATTGAGAGTTTGCTTTGCCAGTCCATGAATATGCCGCACGTAGTAGTTCGAGGAGTTGTCCAGATACGGGTCGAAGCCCTGCCTCAAAAAAGTCAGGACTTTTGGGCAGATTCCAGTATCCGACCCATCTCTTCAAATATATATATATATATATATATATACACATATATATATTTGCAATAAACTTCAAAAGATAATATGTCTTGTGTAAATGCACATACTTATAAACCAATGTTCTAAATATGTGTACAGTAATTCAAAAAATGTTATAATAGTTAAATCTATTCTAGCAATCGATATATTTCACAAAATAAAATATAATGTATTCAAATTCATAACACCTCAAAAATAATATATAGAAGTTGCAACAGAAAAAAACCAGAAAATAGAGGACCACGGCACGGTTCATGGACAGCGAAAGGAACCACAGTCCGCCGACCTAACCACAGCTCAAACCCAGAGATAGTGGACCACAGACCCCTTCACGTTCTATGGACCACCTCACGTGTCTTGGGAAGGCTCGTGTGGGTGAGGCAGAACATCTAGATCTCTGGCATCATACCACAGAGTCCTCCAGGGGCCGTGGTCTTGATGAAGGACCTTGGGAGGGTTCGTGGACCTAAGCCACAAGACCCAGCCCAAGTGAAGACCACAATTACCGTTACGGTCTGTGGTCTTTTCACAGAGGTCGTGGTAGGGCTCATGGTTGGACCACCCAGAGCCAGCAGCCACTAGACCAAGGAACATAACTTACTTAATGGTTTGTGATCCCTTTTACAGTCCGTCATAGGGCCCGTGGTCAGTCTCATCTGATTTTATGTCAGGGGTTGTTTGTTCTTTTTCCGTATGGGTTGGGCAGCTTAATTACGTCGTTAACCCCCAAACTACATATCTTTTGTAAGCTTAAGTCTATTTACATAATCAGAACCTGCCATAATTGATCTTCACCAAACTTTCATTAATCTTAAAGCAAAATAAGTGAGAAAAGTCAAGTAACCCTCTCAAAGAATTTAACAGGTTTCCTTATGTTTTAGCCCCAAAATCAACATATTTCTCCATTAAATTCATACAAGGTATGTGATATTTCACTAGTAAGTTCCTTTCATCCATTAGGTCCCTAAAATTCAATTAGAATCTTGACTCCGAATGTATTGTTTAGACTTAGGGTTTCTTGAACGTTAGATAAATTATTGTGATTTAGCACTTATGGTATTCCGAATCAATTTATCATGTTTTAGTGATGTTGTGGTTAGCTTTTTTCATGAAACTCATAACCCTACTGGTGTAGATAAATTTAGTTCATGAATTACACTCACTATGTTAGTTACATATATACAAGCATCAAATTTTGAATGTTTCGTTACCAATACTAAAATGTTGCTTTCTCAGTTAGCATATAAGAATATTGAGCTACCAAGTATATTTCAGTTATGTTGTTTATTCATATTTATTGTTGGGAGTAGTCTTTGACCGTGTGGACTAGGGTCAAACATACCCGTATAGTCCCAAAACTACGTTCCTCATAGGCATGCAAGTCCTCTCTTTGGGAATTATTTTGTGTTGGTTATTCTTAGCTCCCACAGTCAGACTTCAATAAATTGGACCAGGTTTTGAGTTATAATTCAATTTTCGGTCTTAGCATGTTATGAA